GAATACATTTTTTTGTCACTTTCAACTGGGAGCAAACTTCTGATAAAAATAATAATTGAAAAAACAGAAACATCTGAAGACATTCAGGCGGACTTTGCCTCTAACTATAACATGTGTTTAGAGGATTGATGGAAATTTGGATGGGGAGGATAAAAATCAACAAACAAAATCTACATATTTCTTCAGAAATGTTTAAAAATTCAGGGCTGCAGTTACTCTGGATATTAAAGATTGTCTGATTTATTTATTTTTATTTTTCTGTTATTACTATCAACATGAGCTTTCAAACTTGTATTTTTTCTGTGTAATGCTTTACATTATCACTTTTTGTTTGATTTTTGCAGAGTCCTACTCCAATCCTGAGCATGGAGCTGTCAACCAAACGAGTACGTCCCTCTGCCGGATCTTTCTCTGTTCTCTGACATTTTATGACGCATGTACACCTGATATTCATTCAGTCATGATATGTATTTAAATCTCTCTGGAGGTAAGGTTATTCACAGAGCAGCTTTCACAGAATTCTCCATCTTCAAATAAAACTTAAATGCCATTGATTTATCTAAAACCTAAACTCCAGCTTCTGATTCTCTGACTTGTCATCTCCCTCTCCTTTCTGCAGCAGTTAAAGAATTCACAGTAGCCTAATCAACTTGTTTTCCTCCTCCACAGCAACAGCTGTATGTGTCCAGTGAGCTCGGTGTGGCCCAGCTGGGTCTGCAGAGGTGTGAGTTATACGGGACCGACTGCGCCGAGTGCTGCCTGGCCAGAGACCCCTACTGCTCCTGGGACGGACAGACCTGCTCCAGATACTTCCCCACCAGCAAGAGGTAAAAACATGCACAGGGAGAAGAGAGACACTGGAGACACTGATGCTGTATTCACACATACACAGAAACCCTGGTGATTCTTAGAGTAGTTACCCTCTTAAAGGCAGGGTTGGTCATTTTCCTTTCCAAGATTTAGGTGTAAATTGTCTTTAGGTCCTGACAGACATTAATAACTCATGTTCTCTGAAAAAGGAACAAAGTAAATCCATCATCTGTATCAGTTTTTAAGTCTGTAAAAACTTCGACCAATGTCTGCCACGAGGTATCAATCTGATGAACCAATCAGACGCCTCCCTGTCTCCCTGCTCGTTCTCTACCCCATGCATGCTCGAGACCACACTCAAAGCATGAGCTGAGGTCCGCTTCTGGAGCGACGGCGCTCGTGCATTTAAGTGAGGGGGCGTGGCTTATGAGGGAGCACAGAGGGAATGCTACTTTCAAAATCATGATGCTAGTTTTTGAGAATGACCAACCCTGCCTTTAAGGACATTAAGCAAAGAAAGGGGGAGGGGGGGGACAGGAAGCTGAGAGTCAGAGGAGCACAGAGGGAGGAGACATGACAACACTCTTTACTCTGGCTGAAACAACAATCTGTGTTTTCTTAGCCTGTTCCTGCTCTGTGGTTCCTCGTTCATAATCGCAGTAGCTTCATAGTGTCACCTCTGAGGAGCCGGCAGGCGACCAGTAACAACACAGAGAGGAGGTTATAACACTTTATCTGAAGGCAGCCACACAATCTACGGCTGTCAGCTGCCGTGGAACTGATGAGTCTGCTGTCTCACACTTCACTCACACATACTTACCTACATTTCACTTTCGTTCACACGGGACAACAGACACGATATTTAAGAAAGTAAAATGCAATGAAAGTGAAATTATAGACGAGATTAAATTCACCTCATTTGAAGATATATGTGTAAAGTTTCTGAATGAAACAGCAAGGTGAATATTCTAAAAATGTGTGTGTGTGTGTGTCCGTGTGTGTGTCCGTGTGTGTGTGTGTGTGTGTGTGTGTGTGTGTGTGTGTGTGTGTGTGTGTGTGTGCGTGTGTGTCCATGTGTGTGTGTGTGTGTGTTTCAGGAGGGCGCGGAGACAGGATGTAAAGTACGGAGACCCCTGGAGTCAGTGTCCAATCACAGAGGACGGTGAGGATTTCCTCCCTGAGATTTGAATAAAGCGTCTCTGTTTTAAAGTCGTTCCTGTCCGCAGTGACATCATGCTCAACCTGCATGAGCAGTATGAACTGCATGTTAGAGGGCCGTCCTCAGTCTGGATCCTCACAGTCAGTTAGAAAGCTGTTTGGATCCAAGATTATGATCAGAAAGGAAATCACAAAAACTAGATTATCTAAAACATTTCTTGTTAACTGATATAAAAAATGAAGACGAGGCTCGATGAAAACCTCCAACTTCCACAGACTCTGTGCACGCCGTCAGGGCTGCACATTACGCCCTAGTGCGCTGCCACTCTAGTCAATGATTGTGTTTCCACAGCGAGCGCCGCAGTCCGTCTCTGGTGCGTTCCACCAGCGTCACTACGCTCTTCTGTTTCAAATACGCTGCAAGTCTATTTTTTGACAGAGGACGATGCAGGCACATGTCAAGCTGGACAGAATAAAACGACCTGGACAGGAAGTCCAATAGAACACAAAATACAGACTCTCGTATTTTTCACCTTTTTTCAACATTACATCAAAACAGGCACCGAATGAACAACAAATCATCCTCAGAAAGACAAAGCAACATGTTGTCTGCACGCTTTTTCTCCTTATTCCCACCTGATCTTGTAGTTCTCCTGTGATGTGAGTACAGCTGCTCATGGCTGCGCTCACACTCCAGAAACTGATCCGGGTGGGGCAGGGCGCACGCTGTCCGACAGAGTATGTTGGGATTGGGGGGGTCACTGAAACTGTATTGTGTGGTTATAAAACCTTTACTTCTTTAAAATAAAATTATAATAATTTAGAAAATGTCTGAAGCTTTCTTGTCATTTATTTCATCCATACACAGAATATTGTGGGCGGACATTTAATCTATATATTCCAGTTTGACCTTTGACTGTTTCATACGGTCGCCAACAAGAGCAGCTGTGCAGCAAATTTAAAAACTATGCAAACTCAGAAGCCCATACTGAAATCCAAAACAAATGCACTAACATCAAATGTGCTGCAAAAACATTAAAAAAAATACATATACAACAGTCAAAAACCAGAAATTGACAAATGCTGCTAATCAGCGCTATGGCCTGTAGGGGGCGCTCAGTGAAAGAGCGAGAGGGACCAGGCACTGCGTGTTTTGTTTAGATGGGACGACAGAATGAAGTAAAGCACATCCTCCATTGAATCACTCGTCAGCGTCTGTTTCACCTGATAGATTTGGTCTCCATGGAAACCCACGGCTGTCCCACGCAGTCTTTTGTTATTCTCACCTTGAAAAGGTGGCAGGAAAACTTACCAAAGACAAACATCGAAGAAATATAAAGAGTTGATTAAAGACTTCATCACAACTGCAAAAAATATATATATATATATATATATATATATTTATAAAATATTTGAAAAATATAATATTTTATATATATAAAAACTGTAACCTTTACATTATATTTTTATTATATTTATATATAAATATAATTGAAATATAAAAATATAAAACCAGAATATGTTTGGTTTTAATTTGTGTGCACAATCAGGGAATTTAAAACGTCAAAATGAAATTGGGACGGCTGAGGCTCAGTTGGTAAAGTCGTCTCTCATTCAAGCTTTCTTTGCAGAATACAAATTCTATATGTGAACAACCATGAACTAAATCAAACGGTACTGATTGAAAATACTCATCGAGATACCCTCCATTACTCTTCTACTCTTCCTGCAGGTAGAAGAAGGGCGTACTCTAGAGGTTTAACAGTGTAATTGCAGTTTTCTCTGCCTCCTCTTTTTCCTTATAATCCCCTCTGTTTCAAATGCAGAGTGACCAAACCAAACAAGCTGACTTTTTGTACTGATTATTTTCCCCTCTGTTGCTCTTTCAGATTTAGGCTCTGTGGAGGTGAAGTCGGTATACGGCGTGGAGGGGAATTCTACCTTCCTGGAGTGTCTTCCTCGGTCGCCGCAGGCCGAGGTCAGGTGGACGGTGCAGCACGCGGAGAGCCAGCAGCAGACTCTCAGCCGCACACAAGAAACCAAAGAGGTACGTCGAGCACTGTCTTAATGAATGATCCTGCAAACGTCAGACAGTTATATTGTTTCTTTTAAAAGAATGTTTTAATTTCTCGTCTGATAGCTAACACTCACAAACAAAGAGACTGTGTCTAACTGAGGGATTGGTACGGACAAATCTTTGTTGTGAAAAGGCAGACCTTCATGCACAAGGGGAAACACACAGTGCTTTACAGAAACAATTTAGATTACAGTTAAAATAAGTAATAGGAGAGGATGGGCTGCAGGTGTCAGCAGGTGGCACCTGCTTGGGGCCCCTGAGAGCTCACAAACTTATATTAAAGCAGTGGCCTGAAATGTGCAAATTTTGCAATGAAAGTAGGAAATTAGGAAACCTCCCTAAGTGGGCCCCGTCTGATAGCACTCACTGTCTTTGCCCTGCAAAACCAAAGATTTTCAATCAAAGTCAATAAAGAAAAATGAAGAGGACTTATCCTTCTACAGGAGAGAGAAAGAGAAAAAGATACAGTTAGCGTCAGAACACTGACAGACGTAGTGGTGATGAACGCTGGTTAGAGGGCCCCCCAGTTGATTTTGGCATAGGGCCCCTACAGACTGTAGCATCACCACTGGGTGTCAGCTGAAGATAGAAAGGCCAAAGTGTGTGTCCACCTTCTTGTCTGATTGTTGCACCTTTATACTCCGAAACAAAAGAACTGTGGTAAGTGGAATGAACTTCCAAACTCCATGTGATCTGCAGAGTCCCTCTGCACCTTTAAGAAAAAGCTAAAGAGCCAGCTCTTTATGAATACCGACTAACTTAATGATGATGGTCTCCATATTATTGATGATGATGATGGTTGTGACGATGGTTTTTGTTTGATAACGATGACTTATAAGATGGTTTCTATACTGATTAGAGCTCTCAAGAACTGCCCTCAATGTTGTGCTTTGCCTCTGGTCACTTCCTGTCAGCACCTGTGTGTCCAATCAGACTCAAAGCTGATCGTTTGCTCTTACTCACATTGTTCCCTTTTTTCTAGATCCTTGCTTGTGTTGTTCTTACTCTCTGATGTACGTCGCTTTGGATAAAAGAGTCTGCTAAGTGAATTGTAGAATTGTAGAACTATGTGAGCAATATTTAATGGATGTATGTTGAATTGAAGGTTGAACACTGCAGCTTGAACAATGTGAGTCTGATGGATTTTCTGCAGGTGAATTTAGAGAGTGAACTGACATCTTGAGCATCATTTTCTTGTCTGTGTTTTCCCTCTCTCCGTCTCTTAGCTCAGCGATGACCACCGCTCCATCCACATGAAGCGCGGGCTGCTGGTTCAGCACCTGGAGCTCTCTGACTCGGGCCTCTACACCTGCTTCAGCCGCGAACACTCCTACAGCCAGGTCCTGGCCCGATACCGCGTTCACATCATCTCCAACGACAGCCTCAACCCAACCCGCTTCCAGCAGAACCACAACCCAAACCAGCACGTGGCCCTCGCACACATCGGAACAGCTGGAGTAGGGGCTGCTGGGTTTCTGGGCCGGGCGGGTTCTTCTCATCCATCCCCTGCTCTACTGCCAGGACACAGGAACTCGTGGCTGCCCCAGCATCCTCAGCAGCTTCCTCTGAGGAGCTACAAAGACCTGCAAATGGTGGGGACCAACAGTCTGAGCGTGGATGAGTACTGCGAGCAGCTGTGGTACCGAGAGAAGCGGCGGCAGCAGAAACTGCGCACTCTGAAGCTGAAGCAGGAGAGCAGGAAAGCCCGGGTGAGGAGGAACAACCCTCCTGAGGTTCCTCTTTAGTCTCCTGGGGGAATAAAAAAAAGACTGACAGGTCCTGTACACGCAGAGGACAATGAAAGATTTCAGACTGTTTGCTTTTTCAGCAAATGACGCCGCCTTGTAAAGTGACACCCCCCATATTAACCCTTTAAAGACTGACAGAGACTCACAGAGACATTAGTTTATCTCTGTGCTCAATATTTTCACAATACGACAAAGCAGAACTCAAGAAATGTAGATAGAGCAAATTTTCTCTGAATTTATTTTAATACCAATAATCGTTATTGTTTAGGACGTGGTTTAGATTAGATTAGAATTAAAGAATGTTTTCTGTAACTTTAAGATTCAGACGAGCATGTTCGCATCAAACGGTTTGATGTGGATAGGAACGATCTGGAGCTGGTGATCTACCGAGGATCTTGTAATCCAGCTCATTTATTGAACCTGATCCAGATGCAGAGTCGAGAGGATTACTAAATCCAGATTATCACACGACATGCTTTGTCCACAGGGGGCGCCAACATTCACACAACCTGAAAGAGCCTCACAGTAACTTTGAATTAGATATTTATCTTTTAATATTGATGTTAAAGAGACAGAATCCTTCAGCCTTGATGTCTACCTAATCTTCTCTGTCATTGTCGTGTAAAATAGATTATAAAAATGTCTTGAAAACCTTGAAAATATGTTGTATTGTTTGAGAAATTGTATTGTTTTCTTAAATTATACTCCATAATCCAGTCTGAATCCAGCTCTTTATGCAGTGGTTCTCAACTGTTATAACCCCAGGACCCACCACCAACATCTTAATGAGAAATTGCAGCCCCCAAATGTCTGATATTCTTCAACCAATCAGATTTATCTAATAAAACATAGAGCAGTTTGGACCTCAGAGACTTTCCGAAAACATTTGCGACCCACTGAAACCATTTTTAGACCCACTTTTTGGCCCCAACCCACCAGTTGAGAACCACTGCTCCACAGGGATTTGAATCATCCAAAATTTATTTTCATGAGTTATCCCAATCCTTAAAAAGTAAAAAGTTTTGAACAACACAAACTGGAGATTTTATCTAGATAAAACCAGGATTATGTTACGTGATTTTATCAGATGACCCACTTGTACTGGTCCTAACATTTACGCCTTCCCGTTAGCCTAAAGGTCCAATCAGTGAGATGTGTAGAGAGTGAGATGATAAAGGTATCTTACTATCTGATCATTAAGGAAACATGCTATGTTGAAGTGCTGGCTTCTCTGACAACAATGCAGCAGCCAGTATGTCCTCCTTCTAACTTTAGATTCTGCTCCTGAATGCTCTGGATTTGTTTGGACCAGAGAAGGTAGGCGCTTTTAAGACACCCCCCCCCCCCACACACATCTGTTTTGGACGCCCCAGAGCTGCATGCAGAGCTGGATAAACACTGAAGCTTCAGAGTCCACCACATGGTGACCTGAGTGAGCATCCACTCTAGAGAGGAGGAGGGGTGGGGGGAGACAGCTCTCTATAATGTTTAGAATTTAGACTGCAGTACCCATTTTAAACACTAGGTGTCAGAGTTACATATTATACAGTCTGGTGAGAGTGATGCATCTGAACAACAGCAGCAGATACATGACATTAGATTTCTTGTAAAGCTGCGAATAATGGACCGCCACAAAGACGAACGTGTATCAGGATCTCACCCACAATGCAGACGGATTCATAATAACTCTCTCTGTATTTATTTACACCGTAAATTAAGACTAAACATGAAGAGTGTTTGCCCATTGTACTGCTACACATTTAACTGTTTATTAATAACGTGTATTTATGCTGGTTCTGAAGTGTAGTACTCATTAACACAGATAAAATAATGTATTCATGCCTCAGTGGAGAACGCACACATGGAGCCTGCTTGAAGAAACATATGATGTATAGCTTTGATTAAAACTGCCATGTAACTAGTTATTATTATTATTATTATTGTTACACCAGTGTATATTAAAGAACTCTATTTTTGATAGTTTTCTTTCTTTATATTCTAGAAATTAGTTCATTTTCTGACTGTTTATATGAAACTCTAAGAAGCTTCTGAGATCAAGAGTGATGAATTTGTATCAAACTGTGTGAAAAAAGCCACTAAGTGATGTCAAATAAAAAAGATTAAACACTCCAGGGTTTGTTTATTTGAGCAAGATAAGTCCCACACTCCCACACTGAAACCTCTGCACCGGCTCCCTGAAGCTTTTAAATTCACACCCTCACTTTTTGAGGCTTTCACGGTCAGGCCCCAGAATATTTGTCAGAGGTCATTCACCTGTATTCACCAACCCGTTCCCTAAGGTCCTACACCCTAACCTGCTGTCGGTCAGACACACTCATGTGTCTACTGCTATAGCACCAATCCTTTGGAATTCCCTGCCCATCTCGTTCTTTAGACAGGCCTTTGGGTAATCATTTCCACCCAGTCTACCTACTGATCTATGTTTTAATGTGCCAATTATTGCTCCTGGTCATAACAGGATTTCATAATAATAATAATAATAATAACTTTATTTATATAGCAGCTTTTAAAAACACAGGTTTACAAAGTGCTTTGACAAACAGCAAAAGCAAAAACAAACTAAAGCAAACACAGAAGAACAGAAACAACAACAAGAACATAACAAATGCAAAATACTAAAAATAATTAAATACAAACAGAAAAGAACCCAAAGTGCACGATACCCAACAGACATATAGAACCAGACCATCACAAGAACCATCACAAGAACCATCATAAGAACCATCATAAGAACCATCACAAGAACCATCATAAGAACCATCATAAGAACCAACACAAGAACCAACACAAGAACCATCACAAGAACCATCATAAGAACCATCATAAGAACCATCATAAGAACCATCATAAGAACCAACACAAGAACCATCACAAGAACCATCATAAGAACCAACACAAGAACCATCACAAGAACCATCATAAGAACCATCATAAGAATCATCATAAGAACCCAGGAAACACAAGAACCATCATAAGAACGCAGGCAACACAAGAACCATCATAAGAACCATCATAAGAACCATCACAAGAACCATCATAAGAACCATCACAAGAACCATCATAAGAACCATCATAAGAACCATCACAAGAACCATCATAAGAACCCAGGAAACACAAGAACCATCATAAGAACCATCATAAGAACCATCATAAGAACCCAGGCAACACAAGAACCATCATAAGAACCATCAAAAGAACCATCACAAGAACCATCACAAGAACCATCACAAGAACCATCATAAGAACCATCATAAGAACCATCACAAGAACCATCACAAGAACCATCATAAGAACCATCACAAGAACCATCATAAGAACCATCACAAGAACGCAGGCAACACAAGAACCATCATAAGAACCATCATAAGAACCATCACAAGAACCATCATAAGAACCATCATAAGAACCATCACAAGAACCATCATAAGAACCATCATAAGAACCATCATAAGAACCCAGGAAACACAAGAACCATCATAAGAACCATCACAAGAACCATCATAAGAACCATCACAAGAACCATCATAAGAACCATCATAAGAACCATCACAAGAACCATCATAAGAACCATCATAAGAACCATTATAAGAACCATCACAAGAACCATCACAAGAACCATCATAAGAACCATCACAAGAACCATCATAAGAACCATCACAAGAACCATCATAAGAACCATCATAAGAACCATCATAAGAACCATCATAAGAACCCAGGAAACACAAGAACCATCATAAGAACCATCATAAGAACCATCATAAGAACCATCACAAGAACCATCATAAGAACCATCACAAGAACCATCATAAGAACCATCATAAGAACCATCACAAGAACCATCATAAGAACCCAGGAAACACAAGAACCATCATAAGAACCATCATAAGAACCATCATAAGAACCATCATAAGAACCATCACAAGAACCATCATAAGAACCATCATAAGAACCATCACAAGAACCATCATAAGAACCCAGGAAACACAAGAACCATCATAAGAACCATCATAAGAACCATCATAAGAACCCAGGCAACACAAGAACCATCATAAGAACCATCATAAGAACCATCACAAGAACCATCACAAGAACCATCATAAGAACCATCACAAGAACCATCATAAGAACCATCACAAGAACCATCATAAGAACCCAGGCAACACAAGAACCCAACAACACGAGCTGAGACCAAGAGGACCAAAGATTTAAAAAGATGTAAGAAACTAAAAGAGATGAAAGCAAATCAAAAGATAACAGCAATAAGAAGGTAAGAGCAGAAAAAGAAATAGAAACAAGTGGTTAAAGGATAAAAAATAATGATATTAATAAAAAGAAAAAGTAAATATAAATATAAAACATGTCGGTCTATGAACTATCTTTATTATATGTATGTTGTTTGTTGTTGTTGCTGTAAAGCACGTTGTGACCTTTGTCAGTGAAAAGTGTACATACAGTTATCACACGGTGCAGGTGCAGATTGGCGGATGACGTCAGAAGGTGGCGGTAATGAGCAACAACACGACGAGCGACGAAACCACCAACGAAGAAGACGTCAACGGCTGCTGCACGCTCGGTCGTGTTTGAACTACACTAATGGAAACGCACTTGGTTGGAAAGTAGTGGAAATATAGAAATATCACCAGCAGCGAAGGGTAACGAGATGTTAACTTTACTCTGTGTAACTTTACTCAGTGTTAACGCTTCATGTTCATAAAGGACGGCGGGATGAGAGTCAGTTTGAGTCTCTTTTCTGGTTAAGTCTGTTAGCATGTTGCTAGTTAGCCTCTCATGGTTCACTGACTCTGACTGTCTGCCGGCTGAATGAGCCTCATTGTTATCGAATTACCTGTAAATACAGATATCAACCTGTGTCCACAGCATTAGTTAGCATCAGTAGGTCAAGTTTGTTCTCTGTTAGAGGAGCTAACAAAGCAGCTCGGCTACTTTCCGTTTCAAACTAACGGAAACTATCATTTAAAATGTTTTTTTCCTGTGTTTACATCGTTCAGGTTGGATCTGTACATAGAGAGAAATCAACTTTAAGACTCCTTCATGGCTGCTCCAACACTTCAACAGCCCAGCTTCCTTCTGGTGAGTATCTTAAAAGATGAGATCCTTTAAAACTCTGCAGAATCAGTTTTATTTAAGAGGTGTACTCACAGCAGAGACACATTACTGTAAGAGAAACATGCTGAAGTGTATTTATCACACTATGGAACATAAGTACCCAAATACAGAAAGGAAGCAGTCACACAGGGTGAAGAAAAAGGTTTACAGGTATGTGAAAAAGACTCATTCATGTCTTCTTCTTGTTGATTCAGGCCAATCTTAAAACTGATTCAACCACCAAACCGCTCCTCCAACGATGCCAAGATCTGGTGAAGATTATCGAAGAGTATCCTGCAAAGGTACGCTTACATCTCCCCAAAATACTTTCCTTTTCACTTCTTTTACAGCCATACTTACTGAAATGACTGACCACTGTGATGAGTAAGTAACTGTGTAAGTCTGTTTGGACAAGCTTCTTAGTTGGAGATATTTGAAAACATATGCTGTTGGATTTGTACGCCATCATCACACCACATTACAGACTGGATCAGCTGCTTGTCTCTTGCTGGATCCAGCAGTCTGACCTAACCTTTCATGTGAAGGGTTTGTGACATGCAGAGACAGCTGCTCGTACTTTGACCTCTGAGTTTCACTTTGAGTCTTTACTTTCTCTTTGAGGGGACTTTGTACTTTACACTGTGATTGAATCTTTGCTAATAGGAAGAGATGTGCACTGTGTCACAAACATGTACTGTGATATTCTAGTTGCTCCTTCCAGGTTTTTGTTGTGTTCACGTCGTGTCATTATGGATAATTAGCAGTGCACTTACAGTGTGTGTTAGTAGAGATATTTGTGCTCAGAAATACCCCTCTTCTGTTTGAGAGCAGCTGTTGTAGCTTCAGTAGGTGAAACAAAGGAGGATTGTTGTGCAGCAGATTCACAGGACATGAGTGAGTGGCGTTGTACTCTGCGTCCGTGTCTTCAATGTACCAAAGACTCCGGTCAGCAACTTCAGAGCACCAGATTCTTGTGTGTGTGCAGAGCTGATTACGTTTAGTAATCACTCTTCATGTTATTGACAGACCCAACACAGTTCTTGATTACAAACTGGTGTAATGTAACGGCTGTGGGTGGATTTCACCAACACAACACCGCTGAGGGGAGGGGAAGGGGGGGTTTCCAGGGCACCATAGTGCTGTGCCTGAACACAGACAGAGCAAACTGTGAGCCCAAATACTTGAGAAGACGCTCTGAGGTGGATTGTTCAACAAAATCCATTTGGATTAGGCGAGACCAGCAGGTGAATCTGTGTCTGTCGGGACAGTGAGACTCTGTGGTCAGAGACTTCAGAGCGATACGACAGTGAAAGGCGCTTTGAGTTTCCTTGCTGGGGATCAATGAAGTTCAAATAGTCTCCCTCTGCTGACTCTGTTAACCAGATTCACTTCCTTGATGTCTCCGTTTCTGCTTTTTCCTTTTAATGACAATAACTAAGTTTAAGTTGTCATTTCTGTCTGTTTGTGTCCATCAGGAAAATCACCCAAACTTTGAAAACAGCTTCAGTCCCATTAAAAAAAAACTCCCTTTACTGGTGCTGTGTGCAAATTCTCCTGGTGGTGTAACCAGAAACCAGTCTAAAGTCAAAACTTAAAATGTAGAACAAATCAGGGTTTGGATCGACAACTTTGAACTTTCAGATAAATCAAAATGTGGCTCAGTTGAGCAGAAATATTCAGACACTTCAAGCTGACATGAATCGTTTGGGGCATCTTAGTATTTTTCCAAAATTATATTTATAATCAGACTTTTATGACCTTAATCAATCTCTGTGCTTTCAGGAGCTGCACTTGATCTTCCCCTGGCTGGTGGAGTGTGTGTTTGGCAGTCTGGACGGCATCATCGCTGGCTGGAACCTGCGGCTTCTTCATCCACGGAACCATGAGTACAACATCGTAATGGAGTTTCTGAACCCGAGGTGCTCACAGCCCGTCTGAACGATCACAGTGCAAACGTGTGCTCACATAAATCAAAACCCCCGTAACAAATTAAAATCTGATTTTGTTTTTCAGCGGGCCAATGATGAAGCTTGTGTATAAACTACAAGCAGAAGAGTATAAATATGAAGTACCCGTCAATTATCTCCCGGTAAGATCATGTCTGTTCCTCACTGCTTCCTGTAGATATCAGCACACTCTGGGTTTTTCCTGCTTCCTTTCACTCTGTTGTAATTATTCTACAGCGAGCACCATGTTTGATTCTACTATGACAGTCTGAAGTATCTCATTGGATGAGTATCCATCTCTGCCTACTTCTTAGTTTAAAATTAGATTTTTAATCTTCATCTTTGTGTGTCTCTCAGGGTCCTGTGAAGGCCTGCATCCAGGAGGGAGTCCTCCCAGACTGCCCCCTTTTCCACAACAAGCTGCAGTTCCCCCTGTCTGGTCTGCTGTCGCTGAACCTTGCTCTCAGTATCCTTCCAAACACAAACATTGATCTGTCTGGATTCTCTGTGAAGGCTTCCCCGTGATGACTCAGTGTACACGTGGTGTAGTACTTTAACACTTTGCAAAACATGTTCAGTGTGTGTTTGACTCAGTATATTTTATTTATATTAACTGTTCTCTTACCTTTCATGACAAGTCTATGTGACCAAATCTGACTGATCAGTTCTGCTGTTGATAACTTTTAATAACACATACATTTAAAACTTGGTCTTTGATTAATCATTGATGGAAATGAATGTCTACTTCCCACAGCTCATCAACAGGTCTTATTTTTAACACACAGGATAGTTATGAAGCAAATAAGAGTATCAGGATATATCCAGTAAAAACATGATCTCTTCATGTTAGAGTGCTGGAAGCCGAGGATATGTAGCATGATTTCTCAGTTTCTGCTTGAACAAAACTACTTTCAACAGTGTACAATTTACCACAGCTGTGATGTTTGATTGTTCCTAAACGTTCTTCAGATCCTTTTGAATTCTTCATGTTCAACTTTGCCTACTGTCTCATCACGCCAAAGGTGAGTTTACCTGCAGCCAACGTCCTAGTTTAGTCCTCTTTGATCATCGTGGGGGGTTAGCCCTTTTCAGAGTGCAATTCTACAACATAATAATGAATGAATAAAACCTTTATTACCTCTAGGGGGAATTTGCCCCTGACAGAGAGCATACAAACATAACATAAAACAAGACGTTGAATCCTACACACACACACACACACACACACACACACACACACACACACACACACACACACACACACACACACACACACACACACACACACACACACACACACACACACACACACACACACACACACACACACACACACACACACACAGCACTGTGCTCCCACACTGGCTCAACCAATCACACCTCGCCCCTGTAACGTCTCTGTTACTTCCTTTTGAAGTGGATACAGAGGAGGGATCACTTTGTCCCCCCATTACACCTCCATGACATTGAAAGTGAAGGCGAGACGTCACAGGGACAGTTCTATTAAACGACAGTCTGAATGCTCAAAACAGAATTTTGAGTTTTGCAGATGTTAATTTATTTTAATGCTGTTGAGTTCTTTCAGTGGTTATACAGAATCCATTTTTCATTCCTGTCCTGTTATATTTGTAACGAGCATGAACTCATGTTGAGTGTTTGCTGGCTGCTTTCTGAAGAATGAGCACAATCCCCCTCTCTCTCTGTTTTCAGATCTACCCTCAGGGTTATCATGGGAGCTCCACTGACAGCGCCTACTTTGTGCTCGTGGACACCTACCTCAAATACTTCCTCCCCAGTGAAGGAAATGTTCCCCCGTCCCCTTTCTTGGACTCCAGAGGATCAGTCACTGCACCTTCTCCAAGGTATTAAGACAGGTTTAATAAATCTGTCTGAAGATTCTCATATCACAACTTAAATATTAGGTTTGTATTTACCTAAACAAACATATCGATGAACAAAATCCTGTTCCACAGGTCCTCCAGTGTTTCTTTTGCTGGTTATGGCGTCCACAGTCCCAGTCTCCTCAAGCATCACATATTCCATCAGCCGTCAGTCAACGCAGACCCCTCGGCCCAGGAGATCTGGAGGTCTGAAACACTCTTACAGGTAGGACACAGAATCAAAAAGTCAGGAATTTTAAGATGAAAATCAGGGAATGTTTGTCAAACAATGATTACGAGGCAACTTGAAGGATATGCAAACAAGCTTTTAAAGGTAATCAAAGCAGCTGAGTCCAGCATGAATCAGAGAAGCACTGACGCAACACGGTGAAAAAAGAGTATTCGTTCTTCTTAGAAAGCCTTAAATTTAATGTAAGAAGTGTGCAGTAACCCTGATATATTTTGAATGATATAAAAATCTGTTGAATATCTTTTTAACAGATAACGTATTTAGTGTTTGACCTGTTTGAAATTCAGACCAAATGTGTGTTTTCTTAAGATGTTTGTGGAGATCTGGCTCCATCACTACTCCCTGGAAATGTACCAGAAGCTGCAGTCTCCTCAAGTAAAGGTAAGAGAAATACTCCCCTCACCTGTTCACTTCACTGCAGCACCGCAACCCCCCACCCACCCACTGTGACCAGACACAAACACACACAAACATCTCTCTACCATCCCTTGTTCCACTGTTAAGAGGTTCTACTCTTTCACTTTGTTTCCCATTAGTTGTTTTATGAAGAACCAGCTTCTGTGGCTCATAAATACAAAGAAGACAGAAAACAAGAGAGTGAAGATGCATTCTTCATGTTTTTGAAAAGTTTAGAGTTGAGAATAAACTCACATGTGATTGTGTTCACACTGCAGGCAGCTACATGTTCATTAACCATCAGGAGTGTTGTGCAGAGTATTGAAGTGTTTTCAGACTGAGGCCTCGTCCACACGTAGGCGGGTATTTTTGAAAACATAGCTTTACCTGTTCGTTTAGGTCACTGTGAACTCACCTTCTTTAAAACTCCTTCCAGAGTGAAGGGGGATGGCCGACGTAACCAAACTAGCGCTGGTGCTAATGTTGCTAACTGGACTTCTTACACGCTCACACATACATACACAGTTTCTCTCCCACTATGTTGACGAGTAGAGACGCCTGATTGGTCTACGGAGGTCACTGCTGCTTCATACAACACTATGACAAGAGGAATGGCGAGGAAACGTTCTCATGTCGAGGACATTATTGTTGACTTGGAGTGCTCAGGACAGCCAGATCAATGTGTTTTCATGTGGATGAAGATGTTTTTGAGAAATCAGCTCGTTTAAACAGATTATTTAAAAAAAATGGAGAAAAACTTCTGTTCTTAAAAAAAACAGCCTACATGTGGACAAGACCTGAAGCTCCAAGTTCTCTTGAGTAGCTTGCAGTGTGAATACACAGCACACACACACGTCCGTTCCCACTTTAAGAAGCATCACTCTCCTGTGATATTATTGATTCATTTTGTTTATAAAATAGCACTAAGAGTATATAGCACACGCAGAGAGACGCTTCTGTACTAAGGAACCCTACATGTGTTCCTGGTAGAAATGCCTTTGCTGCTTTCCTCGTCTTTTGCATGCTGCACGTCCATAACACCAGCTGATTGTTTCCCTGTGACACGCTGTGTAACGCACCTTAAACACCAACATAAAGTCACAACACGGTGAAGGCTTCTGGTGACTCTGTGGAGGTCGCACAAATCTCAATGCAAGGATCCACAATCATTTTGACGTCAAAGATCCTCGTGCAGAAACACTCTCTACTGCTGCCCTTTGAGGAGTGACTTTAAGATTACAGGAACCTTTAGATAAACTATGATAAGTAACGTTTAACTGCATGTTTCCAGTCTGTAGAAATGTTCCTCTCTGGTTGGCTGTTGATGCTTTTGGATCATGCAACATTTTTGCCCTCCTAGATAAGCATCGGTATATGAGTTTTGAGTAGAACCTCAGTGAATGCCTCACACATGTTAAAAAATCAGCATGTGATCAGAAATCTGCAGGTGATGGATGTG